ACAAGTGTTCCTTGGCTCCTGGACAACTCTACTGATAATTCTTTTCACTCCTGTCAGAAATCTTGTGAGGAGCACCTGGTTGTGGCCGGTTTATGGTGAAATGATGTTCTTTCCACTTCCGGATTATGGCCCCAACAGTGCTCAGTGGAACATTCAGAAATCCTTCTGTAACCAATGCCATCAGTACGTTTTGCAACAGTAAGGTTGCGAAGGTCTTGAGAGAGCTCTTTGCTTTTACCCATCATGAGATGTTTTCTGTGTGACACCTTGGTAATCGGACGCCATTTTGTAGACCATCAGTTGAGACTGAACCAGCTGATATTAATTTGCACTGCCAGGAGACAAGATTGCTCCCTAATTACTGATAGACTTCAGCTGGTGTCTTGGCTTTGCATGCCTTTTTGCACCTTCCTTTCTTCATTCCATTTTATTCCACATAACTTCATTTCTGAACGTATTTGTTTTGGTTTCTCTGTATGTATGGATGGCATGGGTTGTTACCGACGTGGTGAAGATTTCATGTCTATAGCATCTTCAGAAATCTATTTACTGAGAAAAATGGTGACGTGTTGAATACTTATTTTGCCCGCTGTAATACATCCTGTATAATAATAATAAATATGTTTTTTATATATATATATATATATATACAGTTGTGCTCAAACGTTTGCATCCGTCGGCAGAAATTGTGAAATTTTGGCATTGATATTGAAAATATGACTGATCTGCCAAAAAAATGCTCTTTTATTGAAGGATAACGATCATATGAAGCCATTTATTATCACATAGTTGTTTGGCTCCTTTTGAAATCATAATGATAACAGAAATCACCCAAATGGCTGCATCAGAAGTCTCCGCCCCCCGGATCAGAAGTCTCCGCCCCCCGGATCAGAAGTCTCCGCCCCCTGGAATGTTTGGCCTTGGTACAGACACACAAGGTGACACACACGGGTTACAATGCCAATTAGAGGTTAATGTCCCACATCTGTGGCTTTTTAAATTGCAATTAGTGTCAGTGTATAAATAGTCAATGAGTTTGTTAGTATCTAGCCTAGTCAGTGCATCCAGGTAAGAGCTGAGCCATGGGGATCAGAAAAGAACTGTCAAAAGTCCTGCGTAACAAGGTAATGGAACTTTATAAAGATGGAAAAGGACATATAAAGATGTCCAAAGCCTTGAATAGGCCAATCAGTACTGTTATATCACCTATTAAGAAGTGGAAAGTTCGGGGATCTCTTGATACCAAGGTCAGGTAGACCAAGAAAGATTGCAGCCATAACCGACAGAAGAATTGTCCGGGATACAAAGGGAAACCCATAGGCAACCACAAGAAAAATACAGGCTGCTCTGGAAAAAGATAGTGTGGTTGTTTTGAAGGAGCACAATATGATGACACTTCAACAAAAATGAGCTGCATGGTGGAGTTGGCAGAAAGAAGCCTTTACTGCATCAATGACACAAGAAGGCCCGGTTAGGCATGTCATGGTGTTGTCAGGCATATGGTAACCGGGCTTTTTTGTGGCATTGATGCAGTAAAAGCTTCTTTCTGGCACTTTGACCAAACAGATCATTTTTGTTCCGCATCACCGCATTGTACTCCTTAAAAACAACCACACCATCTTTTTCCAAAGCAGCCTGGATTTCTCCTGAGGTTACCTGTGGGGGGTTTCACAATTTCTTCCAGGGGGTGCAAACTTTTGAGCACAACTGTATATACAGTATCTCTCAATCACTTGGAAACTCAAAAAATAATTCAGTCCATTTTCCCCTATTCAGGAAGCTTTCCCACGTGGTAAAATCTGTCATTTATTCTGGTCGAAACTGAAGAGCCAGGGAGAAAAACCACGAATCCAGCGATCGCCTCAGGCCAAAACCAAATTTTGGGGAAGTGTTTCAATTGCTCAGAATGTGAAAAATGTATAGAAAACAGGCAATGTACTAAAATTCACACGATTCGATTCCTTTTTTTTTACAGCATAACCGTTAGTGTTTCCAAGCAGCAGGTCCTCATAGGGTCACTTACCTCCCAGGGTGCGATGAGCTGCGTTGAGCTGCACTGATCAATGCTAGCGCACTAAGTGCACAATTTTTCATTTCACCAAAAAGCTACCTGTCTGCATTCTTATCTAACGCAACGGAACCACGAAATGCATTTCAATGTGTCACAACCTGTTGTGCGTAGAGTTCAGGCGCACTCCCCCCCCCCCCTCCCCCCATCTGTTTCTAATTCCTGTCCCATAGCCAAAACGGGAAGTGAGAGGAAATCCCTCTAAAATGAGGGAATCCCTGCGTCTCACCAGAATTAGATTTCCCCTCTATTGCTGTTTTCGGGACAACCCAACATTCAGGATATTCTTTTACTTTCACCTTCAATGGTCACGGTAGACAACAAATAGAGAGGGTGAATCTTTGCCTTTATTTAACCCCTTCATGCCTAAGGGTAAAACCAATCTAAATGCCTAAGCACAATTTTGCAAAGTTGACATTTGTTAGTAAAACCGTACATATCATCACAACTACTTTGTACATCCAGGTGGATTATACTGCGATTTTTTTCAGGACAAATTGGGCTTTCATTTGGTGGTAAATGGTAATGGATATCTCATTTTTTTTATTAGCAAAGGAAAACTGGCCCAAAATAGTAAAAAAAAAAAATATTTTTTTTTATTTAGCTGTGTGTTTCTTGTTACTACCATAACCTACCACCAAAGAACAACCCAAATAAATTTTCCAGCTCCTGACGATCGCAGCGACACCATATATGTGTGTGTTATTTGTTGTTTGTACCCGTAGTACCGTCCAGAAACAATAGTGCGCTTTTTGTTTTTGTCTTTTTTTTTTTTTTACCTAAAACGCACTGACACAAATTTTTTTTTTAAATCCTGACCTTTGACCCTGACCTTTTGACTTTGACCCAAACAATTACCCTGGCACTGAACTAGATCAAATCTTGATCTAGGTATTTTTTCTTTATTTTTTAATATCTATTTATCTTCTTCTTTTTTTTTTTTTACAAACATTTTTTTTCTCTCTGTGCCAGGAGTTAGAGAGATACAATGTATAATAGGATGTATATAATGATACAATGTATAATAGGATGTATATAATGATACAATGTATAATAGGATGTATATAATGATACAATGTATAATGGAATGTATATAATGATACCATGTATAGTAGGATGTATATAATGATACCATGTATAGTAGAATGTATATAATGATACCATGTATAATAGAATGTATATAATGATACAATGTATAGTAGGATGCATATAATGATACCATGTATAGAAGGATGCATATAATGATACCATGTATAATAGAATGTATATAATGATACCATGTATAATGGAATGTATACAATGTATAATAGGATGTATATAATGATACCATGTATAATGGTATCATTATATACATCCCGTTATACATGGTATCATTATATACATCCTATGTAAAATAGAGTGTATATAATGATACGATGTATAATAGGATGTATATACAGGTGAAACTCGAAAAATTAGAATATGGTGCAAAAGTTCATTTATTTCAGTGCAGCAACTTAAAAGGTGAAACTAATATATGAGACTCATTACATGCAAAGCAAGATAGTTCAAGCCGTGATTTGTCATCATTGTGATGATTATGGCTTACAGCTCATGAAAACCCAAAATCCACAATCTCAGAAAATGAGAATATTGTGAAAAGGTGGAATATTCTCGGCTCAAAGTGTCCCACTCTAATCAGCTCATTCAGCCATAACACCTGCAAAGGGTTCCTGAGCCTTTAAATGGTCTCTCAGTCTGGTTCAGTAGGAATCCCAATCATGGGAAAGACTGCTGACCTGACACCATCATTGACACCCTCCATAAGGAGGGAAAGCCTCAAAAGGGAATTGCAAAAGAAGTTGGATGTTCCCAAAGTGCTGTATCAAAGACCTGGGCTCTCATTGACACCGCGGTCTTTGTGCTGGGAGCGTGCAGTGCGGCGAGCACCCAGCAGAAAGACAGGTACGCAAATAGGTGGCCCCACTGAAAAAAAGCCCAGTTCCCTGAGGCTGCATATTTGTATGATGTCGGCGGGAGGGGGTTACTTTTATTTTGTTTTCCCTGGTTTCTCACCCCCCCCCCCTCAAAACTGTGCTGTCTCTGTGCTTCTCTACACAATGGAGGCAGATCATGGCTAGTGGGAGAGGCTGACAGGATGTTGTCCACAGCTCTCTGAAAACATCACGGCACCCTGCCTCTGTACTCCTCTCAAGAGTCCTCATTCCTGATGCAAGCAGTGGGAGGAGTTTTGCAAAATGCACCAAATGCACCAAAAATGCATTGCTGGGTGGGTGTGAGTCTGGAGGAGTGGGCGTTCCTAGGCAGGCTGTATGTACATGTGATGCTGAGCCTCCATGAAAGAACTGAAATCCAGTGAATGAAAGAGACAGGCCAGGGAGGGTCAGGCTGAGGAGGAGAGGGCTAGATGATGCTGGGTGTTCTCCAGCCAGGAAATGAGGCAGAGCTCTGTCTGACTTGCTGCAGCTTCTCATGCACATTGTGAGGAGCTCACAGTGTGCGGTGAAATCAGAGGAAGCCATTTCAGTCCAGGAGAGGAGCCGCTACAACTGTGCAACAGGGAAGGGAAGACTGGAGATCAGATTACAGATAGATTCTACTTTTCCTTCTGAAGATAAAATTTGTATCAATATTTACCTGGATTTCCAGAAATGAGACCAGACACACCACACCAAAGATGACCACCCCAAATGCCCTGAGGCTGTAGACCACGCAGAGTCTCTTCACACTGCACACAATTCGGTATGATGCCCTAAAAAACATTCAGACCATCGGAAGTAAAAAACATGGACATGGAACCCTCAATGGTACAGGATTGACCCCGCCACCTATGAACGACCCCGCCACCTATGAAAGACCCCGCCACCTATGAACGACCCCGCCACCTATGAACGGGGTCAGTGGGAAGAATGTCCCTTACATTGGTGGTAAGTGGGAAGAATGCCCCTTACATTGGGGGTCAGTGGGAAGAATGTCCCTTACATTGGGAGTCAGTGGGAAGAATGTCCCTTACATTGGTGGTAAGTGGGAAGAATGCCCCTTACATTGGGGGTCAGTGGGAAGAATGCTCCTTACATTGGTGATCAGTGGGAAGAATGCCCCTTACATTGGGGGTCAGTGGGAAGAATGTCCCTTACATTGGTGATCAGTGGGAAGAATGTCCCTTACATTGGTGATCAGTGGGAAGAATGTCCCTTACATTGGGGGTCAGTGGGAAGAATGCCCCTTACATTGGTGATCAGTGGGAAGAATGTCCCTTACATTGGGGGTCAGTGGGAAGAATGTCCCTTACATTGGTGATCAGTGGGAAGAATGTCCCTTACATTGGTGATCAGTGGGAAGAATGTCCCTTTACATTGGTGATCAGTGGGAAGAATGTCCCTTACATTGGGGGTCAGTGGGAAGAATGTCCCTTACATTGGTGATCAGTGGGAAGAATGTCCCTTACATTGGTGGTCAGTGGGAAGAATGCCCCTTACATTGGGGGTCAGTGGAAAGAATGCCCCTTACATTGGGGGTCAGTGAGAAGAATTTCCCTTACATTGGGGGTCAGTGGGAAGAATGTCCCTTACATTGGTGGCCAGTGGGAAGAATGCTCCTTACATTGGGGGTCAGTGGGAAGAATGTCCCTTACATTGGTGGCCAGTGGGAAGAATGCTCCTTACATTGGGGGTCAGTGGGAAGAATGTCCCTTACATTGGGGGTCAGTGGGAAGAATGCCCTTACATTGGGGGTCAGTGAGAAGAATGTCCCTTACATTGGGGGTCAGTGGGAAGAATGTCCCTTACATTGGTGGTCAGTGGGAAGAATGTCCCTTACATTGGTGATCAGTGGGAAGAACGCTCCTTACATTGGTGATCAGTGGGAAGAATGCTCCTTACATTGGGGGTCAGTGAGAAGAATGTCCCTTACATTGGGGGTCAGTGGGAAGAATGTCCCTTACATTGGTGATCAGTGGGAAGAATGTCCCTTACATTGGTGATCAGTGGGAAGAATGTCCCTTACATTGGTGGTCAGTGGAAAGAATGTCCCTTACATTGGTGGTCAGTGGGAAGAATGTCCCTTACATTGGTGGTCAGTGGGAAGAATGTCCCTTACATTGGTGGCCAGTGGGAAGAATGCTCCTTACATTGGGGGTCAGTGGGAAGAATGTCCCTTACGTTGGTGGTCAGCGGGAAGAATGCTCCTTACATTGGTTGCCAATAGGAAGAATGCCCCACTTACAGATAGCCAAAAAAGATCATTGGTGCCACGCTGCTGATTCTGCCAAATGACATTAGCTCTGGAACTATGCAGATACCATCAAATGGGAGCTCAATCATCCACAGCTCAAGTAAACAACAGAGCTTACAGAGGGATAACTCATTTCTCCTTCTCATCAGGTGCCAATATTCTGAGGACTGCATTTTTTTTAGATATGGTCACATACTCCCTATATGCAGAAGCACTAATGGCTCAAACTGACAGGTTCTCTTTGAAGCCCACGTTTAGATAAAAAAAAATTCCTCTCCAATAAACGTATGTACTTTGCAAACACGGCCTTGTGCTACCAACCTTGCCTCGCCCTCTGTGTGCTTCCCGGGTCTTTTCCGCAGGCGGTGGTTACGCAGCAGGACGCACATGACAGGGGCTGCGAACAAGCCAAGCATTTGCAGTGCCCCAAATAAGGAGGAATAGAGATCTGCAGAGACAAGGTACTGTTAAAGGAGCACCCCACCCAACCAGCAACAATTTTAATTCAAGCTCCCTTATGGGACTCCACCAACTTTCTGATCTCTACGTAGTTTCACCCATTTAAATGATTGATGTTATGAGTTTATACAGGCTGGCCCACGCTGTGAAAAAGATTACTAGAGTGACGTGGCTTGGCATGACTAATCTCTCCTGGTAGTTCCTTAGCTTTACCCTTCCCAGAGCACTCTGGGTTTTCCATTCAACGATCGCAGCAAAAACAACTCGCTTTCAGACTCTCCGTCTCTGATTGAAACTATGTACAACAGCAGTCTGAACAGAGCATCCAAGGAAGTGTGTGATGGGGGGAGTCGCTGATTGTACTCATTCAGATATGTATGTAAATTTCAGCTTGAGCTGCTGAGCTCTATAAACAACAAGCTAATCAGGTCAAAATAATCAGCTAAAGGGTAGGTTAACCTTTAAATAAAAAAAATAAAAGGCAAATTTCTCTGGAAACCCTCCCATCCCCTCATTCTCCACTATTGGTCCAATGGCACTATTCTGCACCATCCGCCTGTCTCTATAACCAATCAGTGAGAATCTTCACTAAAAACAGTCCCAGTGGCAGTCTAGCATAATCATGCAATGGCGAGCCATGATCAGTCAATGTTGCCAATGAGATGAAAATGAGAGTACAACCTATTCATTATCAATAGTTTATATTTATCTGTCTTACAGCAAAGCTTTAATAAACACTACATAGATCAGTAATATAACAAAAACAATGTTTGCTGCAATACTCACCTTTATTCTGGTGGTGTCCCCCACAGTAATTCTTTTCTACCACTATTTGTCCTCAATCTTCTGCAATGCTTTCCTTTAACCTGGAGCTGTGGCTTGCAGTACTCCTTTTCACCCACTAGATGTCCTCAGATTTCTGCCGTACTCACCTTTAATCTGGTGCTGTCCTCCACAGTGCTTTTTTTTTCCACCACTAGATGTCCTCAGCCCTATAAAATGCTTACCTTTAACCTGGAGCTGTTACCTGAAGTACTTCTCTTCCACCACTAGATGTCGTCTGTCTTCTGAAATACTCACCTTTAATCTGGTGCTGTCCTCCGCAGTACTTCTCTTCCACCACTAGATGTCCTCCATCTGCAGTACTCACCTTTAATCTGGTGCTGTCCTCCGCAGTACTTCTTTTCCACCACTAGATGTCCTCAGTCCTCTAAAATGCTTACCTTTAACCTGGAGGTGTGGCCTGCAGTACTTCTTTTCCACCATTAGATGTCCTCCATCTTCTGCAATACTCCCTTTAATCTGGTGCAGGTCCTACCCAGTACTCCTTTTCCACCACTAGATGTCCTCCATTTTCTGCAATACTCCCCTTTAATGTGGTGCTGTCCTCCACAGTACTCCTTTTCCACCACTAGATGTCCTCCATCTTCTGCAATACTCCCCTTTAATCTGGTGCTGTCCTCCACAGTGCTTCTCCTCTACCACTAGATGTCCTCAGTCTTCTGCAATACTCCCCTTTAATCTGGTGCTGTCCTCCGCAGTGCTTCTCCTCCACCACTAGATGCCCCCGGTCTTCTTTGATACCTTTTAATATGGTGCTGTTGCCTGCAGTACCTCTTTTCCACCACTTTTGGGTTGAATGATGATCAGCCTAACTTAACCAACTTCTTTTGAGCCCAAGCTGTCATTGACACGCCCCCTTAAGATGTGCAATTACATTGACCTGGTCTCATAGTACTACTGCACTAACCGGCATGCTGGAGTAGGATTGCCAACTGGAGACGAGGAAGGACCTGTGACATCATTGGACTGAGCAGAAGACTCTGGCGTGTGTATTTTCGGACACACCATCACACTGCAGCAGGAGAAGAAGGTTGCATAGCACAGAATCCTGTGACCAGAGGCTACGTTCCTCCATGCCTGCATGCTGGTTAGTGCAGTAGTACTGAGACCAGGTGTGAATCTTAACGATCTAGACCGTGAATTGAGTTTTCCTTCCCGATTCACCTTTTGTTCAGAGTTGGTGCTACCCAAGTTGTGATGCTTGCAGAATATTACAGGAGGTGTGCCCTCACCTGCTTGGTGATGGAGATCTGTCACCCTTCTCAGCTGTAAGTTCAGTGAGGAAATAAAAAAATATATCCAGGTAAGCAGGACGGAGTCAGAGAGGAGGTGCAGAACGAAGATCGGATTCGTGAGACTTTTGTGGAGGGATGGAGTCGCTGAGCCTGGTGGGAAGAAAAACACTTCAAAAATTTGGCCAAAAACCACCAACTTTCCTTGTATTTGTAAAACTCTTCCCACATTTTCATTATAGGGTATGTCATGGCACCAAGCCGTCTCGAGGGGAGAGGAGACTGAGGAAATGCTTCCCCCTTCCTGCAGCAGACTGGTGACATTGTCTCAGCCTAGGCAAAGTCACCTGATTGGAGCTCAGGGATGGACCTGCTGCTCTCCTACCCTCTGGCCTCTTGAAGCTCAAGGTCCTACGGCGGCTGAGGAGCCGCTCCCGGTCCCGCAGGGAGGCCTGGAATTTGGACTTCAAAGATTTCTGGCACCACTCTTCCTTCGGTTCCTCCTTCTTTCGTAGCGTCTCGTAGCAGTTCAGACGCAACCGTACCCTGCAAGAAGATTTATTAGAAACATTTTATAATGGGAAGAAAAACATGGGGGTTTTGTTAATAATTTTTGGTCTTTTTCTTCTATATATTAAAAATTTTTAAAAAATGAGTGGTGATTAAATACCATCAAAAGAAATCACTATTTGTGTAAAACAAATTATATACAGTAAATGGCATTTGTGTCCAGTGTTGCATGACCGAGCAATTGCCAGTTAAATTAGTGCAGTGCTGAATAGCAAAAAAATGCGCTGGTCATGAAGGGGGTAAAACCTTCCGGAGGTCAAGTGGTTAATGTGTATGTATTGGGATTTATTTTGTGAAAAGTATACCTTATGGCACCACTTCAAGCTATGGATGGAAGGAAACCAAGCCCTGGTGGGCGGGGTGAAACATGTCAGAGGGCGTGACACGAATGGCGGCTGAGGCCATTCCTCAACATTGGACTCCTGGGGTCGGTTGTCCACCCCTTCACTTGTATTGGTATTTATTGCTGACTTTTCTATGTATGACTTTGGAGCTCAGACTTGGGAAGGAGAAGCAGCACAGGAGCCAATCAAGTAGCGGAGAGAGCAGAGAATGAACTCTTCGCTGTGCTGCTTCTCCATTCACTGTCTAGTCACATTGAACTCCTGGAGTCGGTTGTCCAACCCTTCACTTGTATTGGTATTTATTGCTAACTTTTCTATGTATGACTTTGGAGATCAGACTTGGGAAGGAGAAGTAGCACAGGAGCCAATCAAGTGGCAGAGAGAGCAGAGAATGAAGTCTTCGGTGTGCTGCTACTCCATTCACTGTCCAGTTTTATTGGACTCCTGGGGTCGGTTATCCAACCCTTCACTTGTATTGGTATTTATTGCTAACTTTTCTATGTATGACTTTGGAGATCAGACTTGGGAAGGAGAAGCAGCACAGGAGCCAATCAAGTGGCGGAGAGAGCAGAGAATGAAGTCTTCGGTGTACTGCTTCTACATTCACTCTCCAATCCCATTGGACTCCTGGGGTCGGTTGTCCATCCCTTAACCTGTATTGGTATTTATTGCTGACTTTTCTATGTATGACTTTGGAGCTCAGACTTGGGAAGGAAAAGCAGCACAAGAGCCAATCAAGTAGCAGAGAGAGCAGAGAATGAACTTTTCGCTGTGCTGCTTCTCCA